GTTCCAGTCATCTGTCATGGTGTGTGTTATTGTGCTTTGCCATCATCCTGGAGGTTGTCATAGAAACAAAGGACAAACAGTCGGGTGTTTGGACTGTGCAACCCAGGGATTAATGTGCCAGGCAGAAAAGAAAATGGGATGAGACCTCTGATCGTCTTTCCCTGAACCCTCAACATCTTGACGCTAATGCTCTGCACATGAAAAATTAATAGTCTGGTGATAAATGATTTTAAACACGATCACAGGGCGGGCAGCTCCCTTGATGCCTTTTCAAGACAACACAAAAGAGAGAGGGTTTCTTTTTTTAAAGGAAGATAGAAACTTATCTTCCAGTGGGTCAGACCACTGATTCATCTGCCTCCCTGTTGCCTCCAAACTGATTGACAGAGCTTCTCCAGGGTTGGAGACAGGAGTTTTTACAGCCCTACCTGGATTGGAACCTGGGACCTTCTACACAGTGATGGCTGGTAGGGCAAATGGCAGAGAGACCAGGGGCAGTGCATCCCATTTTGCTGCTTGAGATGGCAAGTGCAAACCCACCCTGCTGCCGCTGCAATTGTTGTTGTTGTTTAGTCATTTAGTCGTGTCCAACTCACCAAAGCTTCCTTTAACTAGGTTGTGCAGCAGCGACACAAAGTGGTAGCGGCGGGTTCCATCAAAATCTCACGAGGTTTGGGTGAAAAATTGCTGGAAATCAGCACTGTCTCTATTGCCACTTCTCTGCCTCTGGCGGAGCAGGCAACAGGGGTTTCCGCTGCCCGAGGTGGCTATTTCACCCCACCTCATGGGTAGGAAGGCCTCGAAGGAGAGGCAGAGCCAGAGTCAGTGACAGGCAGAGTCAGCTCCTCCTAGTTTAGTCCTCATCCTCTCCCCTGCTGAGTTCAAGAAGTGGGGAATGCTGAGACTCAGGAGGAGGAGTTGATGTTGTTGTTGGTGTCCATCTGTCTCGAGAGACAATGGAGTGCGCCTCCAGGGGTGAAGTCAAACTGCTGTGTTAAAGGCACTGAAGTGATCTCATGGGGCAGTGTGCATGGAGGTCCTGGGCTGACCAGATGACAAGACCCCTCTCTCGACCTCACTGATGTGGCCCAAAGGAAAGCAGAGCAATACGATTGGCACCAGCTTGGCTTCAGGAGTTGTTGGAAGGAGGCGTACAAGATGCCATCCAACCGTCTTAGGGACTCCACTCCGGATTTGTGTAGGGTTTACTCCTTGGCCTTTTCTTCTCCTGAAGATATCCCACAAGGCAGCGGAGGTTTAGGATCTGAGTTTTCCTTCTCTTAGATGGGCTACCTTCCCAGGTGGACGAGCCCCACCTGCCTCTTACTTCCCTCTACAGCACATGCAGAAACCTCCTTCTTGACCGTTGGACACACTATTGGTCTCGTCCACTCAATCCGCAAGAGCATGTCTTTGCACACAGTGGATGTCCCTAACTCGCTGGTGGTTTGAGACCCATTGGCTACCCTCACATGGTTTAGCCAGCCAGTCAAAGCTGTTCCCAGGGTGTGGCCACTGTCGCATGCTGATAGCTTCCAGGAGGCACAGAGGAGAACTGAATGTTGGGTGGGGACCAAAGATGGACAAACTACCCAGAAGGAGTATGATGTGTCCCCTACCATAGGCCCTCCCCCTCCCCTAACACTCCACACATCCCATGTGTGTGCGCTTTAAATTCATTTGTATTAAATTTTCCACTTTAACAATCCAATCTAATCACATTAAATATCCCAAATTATACATATACATATCAAATAATCCAAATATTCAGCCAAATTATAATTTTTTTAATAGGACTTCTCATGCTTCAAGTTCGGAGGGTTCTGATCATCTCATATTTCTACTGCTTTTTATAGTTATTTCCGATGGTTCCTCTAATCCTTCCTGTTGTTAACCTTCCTTCTTTCACAGCCTCTGAGTTGTTCCCACAAGTGAGTTGAAACAAGCAATGATGTGCTTCTGTGTGGCATTTTATGTCTATGATTCCCCTCTATAGGTTTGCAGCATCTCCTCACACGCTGGTGTTTCTGCCAAATCAATCCAAAGGTCTTTTTGCTGCTGGCAGCCGCCATCTTCACTCAGTTCCGATGAAGTGTGTGTGTGTGTGTGTGTGTGTATTTTTACATTCACCACCTCTCTCACATTTGCTGTTGGCCCTGTCCACATCCAGTGGGTGGTCCTTGGAAGGTTCTTGGGGAGGAATGTGAGCCTCAGGTTGAAAATGTGCTTCCCTTCTCCTGGATTCAAACATAAGGAGATCTCTGTTCTCAACCAGATTTCTTCACAATCAGGGCATAAGGACAATAGCCCCCAGCAGCTGTCATCTGGAGAAGCACCGTCTCAGGACATGAAGGTTCCAATTCACTATTGTAGTTAAGAGTCATGGGAAGAGTTCTCCACCCATTTTTTTAATCCTCTTTTTTAAAGCCACTGGCTGCTAGCACCTCTGATCCAACAGCCTCTTCTTAAATTCTGAAGTTCTCAACTATCTTCAGAGGAGGCTCCATTGCAATGGAGTAGTCTAACCTAGAGGGGGACGCGGGTGGCGCTGTGGTCTAAACCACTGAGCCTCTTGGGCTTGCCAATCAGCGGGTCGGCAGTTCAAATCCCCGCGACGGGGTGAGCTCCCATTGCTCAGTCCCTGCTCCTGCCAACCTAGAAGTTCGAAAGCATGCCAAAATGCAAGTAGATAAATAGGTACCCCTCCGGTGGGAAGGTAAACGGCGTTTCTGTGCGCTGCTCTGGTTTGCCAGAAGCGGCTTAGTCATGCTGGCCACATGACCCAGAAGCTGTATGCCGGCTCCCTCGGCCAATAAAGCGAGATGAGCACCGCAACCCCAGAGTCGGCCATGACTGGACCTAATGGTCAGGGCTCCCTTTACTTTACCTAGTCTAACCTAGAGATTACAGGAACACAGACAAACAAAGTTAGGCTATTCCCCATCCTGACAGGGCCACCGGATGAAGATGGAGCTCTGTACCACAGAAGTCACTTGTGGGTCCATAGAAAGAACTGCCCTCCGAGTGAGCCTTTCCTTCTAGCCCTCCATTTACAGAGGCAGAATTGCACATTTTCTGCGGCAGCAAGGAAAGCCGCACTTGGAGCTGGTTGGTTAAAAGATAACGGATTCCGACTTGTCCCTTGGTGGGACCAGCTCATCGTAATTCTGCTCACAGGCGGCATTAGCTGGCACAATTATCCTGACCGCGCCAGCTGGTGGGTGGTGCTCTGCCCATGTCCGCCACCAATTATTCATCTGTTCTCAGTTCCTGGGGTTAATTTATTTGGCATTTTTAGTCGCAAGCGTTTTATTAGATGTGTGTTCGCTAGGAAGCAAATGGTATGGATTTATGCAGAGGGGCAATGGGCAGGAAGAGTCAAGTGCAACAGTCTTGTAAAGGTAGTGAGCGTCACTGATGCTGGTCAGCAGGCTGGAGTGGAGGTCCTGACACCCTCCACACTCTTCACAGCTACTTTCCAACGATGTCTATGTTGTTGTTGTTTAATCGTTTAGTCGTGTCCGACTCTTCGTGACCCCATGGACCAGAGCACGCCAGGCACTCCTGTCTTCCACTGCCTCCTGCAGTTTGGTCAAACTCATGTTCTTGCCATCTCATTTTTGACCACATATTTTTCTTTACAGCATTGGACTTTCCTTTCGCTTCCAGGCATATCCACAACCTCTGGCTTTGGCCCAGCCGCTTCATCAGCTCTGAATCTACTTGTACTTGTCCTCCGCTCTTCCTCAGTAGCATGTTGGACGCCTTCCGACCTGAGGGGCTCATCTTCCAGTGTCATAACTTTTATATGCCTGTTGTCCTTGTCCATGGAGTTTTCTTGTCAGGGATACTGGAGTGGCTTGCCGGTTCCTGCTCCAGGTGGATCACGTTTGGTCAAAACCCTCCACTATGACCTGTCCATCTTGGGTGGCCCTGCAAGGCATAGCTCATAGCTTCTCTGAGTTATTCAAGCCCCTTCTCCATGGCAAGGCAGTGATCCATGAAGGGATCTATGTCTATACTGTGCATCAGAGGTCTCCAATGTGGTGCCCTCGGGCACCAGTGTGCCTGCCAGTTTTTGTCCTACAAAATCCCGGCACCCTTAACAAGCCACAGTTCCCAGGATTCTTTGGGTTAAGTCACATGCTTTCAATGTGCTTTAAACATATGGTGTGTGTGCATAGCCAAAGCGTAGCAAGGGCTGCCTCTGGAACTTGACATTATTCAGAGAACAAGGGAGTGTGCAATATTAAAGAACTGTTTCCAATTTGTTAAAATAAAGAAAAAAGAATTCTGCGCTATGAAGCAGTTGCAGTGAAAAACATGCTTTGTACGTTTCCCTGTTCATTAGGCTTTCCTCCTGAAGTTCAGCCTGGGCAGGCCCATGATAAACTCAGAGCGGCACATTTCTTCCTTTCTTCCTTTTTTGTGTGATTCCCTGGCGGTGATCTGGCATAACCGTGATCAGCATCTGTTCTGCTGTGCATCGTGTCCTTTCTGTCGAGCGAGAAAGATATGAGCAAACATTACAGAGTCAATAGATAAGACCAGATGGAGAAACTGGGGACAAGGAAGAGTGGGGCGGTGGGGAGGGAGGGAAATATTTTTTTTGCAAGAGTGTTGCCATAGAAACCCAGCTCTATATAGCTAACCCTCAGCTTAGCCCACTAATAGAAATTACCTGGAATGGATTTTACCTGCAACTTACATAGCAGGTATAGGCTCTATTGATGTTCCCTACTTTGGATGCCCCAATGAAAGACCTTCTCTGCTTTTAGGGGCCATAAATAATTGGATAAAACAAAGGATAAATATGAATTCTCTCAAGAACTAGGGTTATTTTCTCTCCCCCTCCCTCTCTCTTAAAAATAATAGAATGGAGAACTTTTTTGGGTTCAGAATTCTCAAAAGTTTCCCCTTCTTTTTCTCTTTGGGGTTTTCTGCGCCCTTTAAAAGGCCAGGAACGAAAACGTTAAGATCAATTTCTCCTTGTATTACAGGAAACAAGACGTGTTGAACAGCACAGATATGGCAGCTCCAGAGAGACCCTTATCTCCACCGCTCACTGCTCCGCCAAGCATGAAGGTAAGCGGCTTATGGGATGCATTATGGCCGGTGCATCGCATGTGTTATTTGCATGGCTGGGCACTGCCCCAACTGCAGGATCTTGCAGTTATATTGGAGCAGAACGGTTCGGCTTATCTGTTGCAGTCACATCTAGCCTAAGAGTTGATATAGTATTTGAGTCGCTTCCTTCCAGCGTTGCATTCTTGAAAGGCCCAGGGAAGATAATGTGAAAGTGCATATTAATATTATGTTTAATAGTAATCTTAATGATGATAATAATAATGATAATTACTTTTATTAATTTATATACCACTTACAATAACTCCTAAGCAGTTAACAAGCATGGTGAAATTCAAACACAATAAGAGCACGCCATACAACAATTCTAACTTTAAAGATACCTGAATATAAAATATACAATCAAAGAAGTCCGTTAAAAAAACATAACAAAACAGTTAAAAGAGCAATTCAAGCAGTTGTACCAGGAAGTTCAAGTTCAGGGGAATGCCTAAACAGGTGTGTCTTCGAGAGCTGGCGGTATGCCAATGCAGAAGTGGCCTCACATATACATTGCATGCATAAGGAATGAAGAAACACAATGCAGAAGCTGCAGTTGCCACAAAATTGGAATCAATGGTAAAGACTACCATATATCTATGAGGTGGAAAAGCTGTTTCTTCCATTATTGCCAGACTAGTGACCTCATGTATAAATGCAGCAGAATGTATTGGAAATGAAGTGATAAAAGCCTTTTTCTAATGAGCGAGAAGATTTTGGCAAGGCGACAGATACCATACCTGTCAACCACCCCAGAAATAAAATGGGACATCCTGTTTTTTTATTGCTAGAGGACAGTGGCCAAAATGGCCGCCACAATCTTGCGTGATTTGGGGCTGCATTTTTGGGGGGCACGGTGGCCCCAAACTGTTCCTGAAGAAAGCACTTGGGGGGCATGATCAAACGTGGGTCACGTGACTCGCACAGGAGTGAGACCCAGAAGATGGCTTCTTGGGTTTGGGGCGTGTCGTGTTGGAAGGTATGAGATACCACTGAATATTTGGGGGTCAAAGCAGGAAGTTGGGGCACTGTGAAGAAGTCTTCTTCCATCAGGCACTGCTTGCTTCCAGTACTTGAGATCAGTTTCCACCAACCTGTTGTCCTTCAGCTGTTGGGGGTTGTTGCCGACTAAGTCCTACTCAGAGTAGACCCATTAAAATCTGTGTGCTTAAGTGAGTCATTTCCATTAACTCCAGTGGCTCCACTCTGAGTAGGACTAGCATTGGGTGGAACCCTTGGACCACAGTTTCCATGAGCTGATGAGAGTTGTGGTCCAAAACACTTGGAAGGCACTAGGTTGCCGATGGCTGCTTTAGATAGTCCACTGGCTAAATTATTCCTGGAGGATCAGAAAGCTAAAAAGCCTAGTAGGAAGATCTTGGCAACCGCAGGGAGCATTGATCAAATATTTCCAGGGTGCCCAGATGTTATCAGAAGTCTGCTCTGGAGTTCCTAAGCAGGAAGGAGTTCTTCCCTCCTTCAAAGACTGTACAAAGAGCTCCACTGTTTGTTTGCATTTTTGTTCAATTCTGGGGGGGGGGAGAAAGGATGCTGCTGTTGCCTAGCAACTGTAGGAATCGCTCACTGCCATCCACAAATGGTTGGAAATAGGATGGCCACCTGCTTGCTTTTTTTTTTTTTTTTAAAAAAAACCAATTCCATATGGGAGCTGAAGATCTACATGCTGTGTCTGGATCTAGAAGCCCAAATTCCAGGAATGGCTTGGAAGGGAGGTGAGCAGGTTGGTTAGATCAGCTCCCCAGGTAAGGGCCAAAGTACAGTGGTACCTCAGGTTACATATACTTCAGGTTACAGACGCTTCAGGTTTCAGACTCCGCTAACCCAGGAATAGTACCTCGGGTTAAGAACTTTGCTTCAGGATGAGAACAGAAATTGCACTCTGGCGGCGCGGCAGCAGGAGGCCCCATTAGCTAAAGTGGTGCTTCAAGTTAAGAACTGTTTCAGGTTAAGAACAGACCTCCGGAATGAATTAAGTACTTAACTCGAGGTACCGCTGTAAATGTGATTTGTTTCACTAAGAGGCAGCCTCAGGGACTGCTTTGAAGATGAAGTGGTGTTTTGGGAGAGGGTGTTAGGCCTTCCCCACAGTCCAAATGGTGCCCTCTATAAACTCTGCACATGTGGGACATCTGCCCCCCCCTTACAAAATGGTGCAATCAGTAATGTCAACTGCTGTCAGCGGTAGGTCTTCTAGAGAATGTAGCCTCCAATATGTAAAATGCTTAGGAAAATGAATGAGATGATGTTCAGGCTGGATCATCAGTACAGTGGTACCTCGTGTTTCATATTGTCCCCCTTACGAATGCTGCGGGTTACACGCTCTGCTAACCCGGAAGTAGATGCCCCTTGTTGTGACCTTTGCTTCGGGATGTGAGCAGAAGTTGCACTCCGGCAGCGCAGCAGCAGCGGGAGGCACCATTAGAGAAAGTGTGCCTCATGTTACGAGCGGTTTCCTGTTACGAACAGACCTCCGGAACGGATTAAGTATGTAACACGAGGTACTACTATACAAATTGAATTTGGGCATGCCATGCAGTGACTTTTTGGACGATGTAAGAAAGCAACATATATCTCGGGCAGGGGTGTCAGAGAACATTTACAGAAACAAGAGAATGACTTGCAGTAATTTGCATGTTTGTCTGAGGCCAGGAGTGGAAATCGCAAAAGCAAATAGGATTTGTATTTTGCTACTGTTGTTTTTTCAGTCTGCAAACGTTCAGTAAATAATTACTTTGCTTTCTGCATTGTTTTCGACTTCTCCCTTCCGTCAAAATTACGTGCTGATTGTGATGAACACGGCCTAGGATGCTGCCTTGTTGCACCCGATCTCAGTGATCACGGGCCGGAGGAGGAGTTACGCTAAGACCAGACCATGTCATTACCGAGGAGGCAGGTTTAGTCGTTGTTTGAGGACTATCCCTGCCTCCAGGTCTGGTCCTGACCAGAAGGATACTGGAATCAGCAAGGGAAACCCACATGACCTGAAAGTGTTGCTGTGCAATGCCAGGTCAATGATAAATAAAACCACTGCCATCCACGACCTGATTGTGGATGGAGGATTTGACCTGGCATGTGTGACAGAGACCTGGTTGGATGAGGCGGATGGGCCTGTCCTTGCCGCTGCTTGCCCACCAGGTTTCTCTTACGCACAGCAACCCAGGTCATGTGGGCGGGGAGGGGGGTTTGCAGTGTTGGTGCTGACCTTTAAAGCCCTAAATGGCCTCGGTCCAGTATACCTGAAGGAGCGTCTCCACTTCCATCGTTCTGCCCGGACACTGAGGTCCAGCGCCGAGGGCCTTCTGGCGGTTCCCTCATTGTGAGAAGTAAGGTTACAGGGAACCAGGCAGAGGGCCTTCTCGGTAGTGGCGCCTGCCCTGTGGAACGCCCTCCCAGCAGATGTCAAAGCAATAAACAACTATTTTACTTTTAAAAGTCATCTGAAGGCAGCCCTCTTTAGGGAAGTTTTTAATGTTTGATGCTGTACTGTTTTTAATATTCAGTTGGAAGCCGCCCAGAGTGGCTGGGGAAACCCAGCCAGATGGGCGGGGTATAAATAATAAATTATTATTATTATTATTATTATTATTATTATTATTATTATTCCTTGTTAGAACAGTATTTTCCTCCTCCTCCTCCCATAGAGACTGGTGCATTAGGAATAAATAATAATAATAATAATAATAATAATAATAATAATAATAATTGTACCCCTGCCCATCTGACTGGGTTTCTATACCAATAAGTACTTAGGCTGACTTCAGCCAGCCCCCACCTGGCTGCCTTCTTCCTTACATCCAGTCAAGAAGTTGGACCTGACTGTCATCTTCCTTCCAAGTTTACCCCTTAGTCCAGGGGTTGTCAACCTGGTCCCTCCCACCCACTAGTGGGCATTTCAGGATTCTAGGTGGGCGGCAGGGGGTTCTACGGTATAAGCTGAATCTTCCTTCCATTGAGCACTGGTGGGCGGTAAGGAAATTTTACCATCAAGAAAGATGCATTAGTGGGCAGTAGGTATAAAAAGGTTGACGACCACTGCCTTAGTCTCCGTGTTGCCCTTGTAGAACTCAGCAGGAAGGAGGAGGAGGGAGGCAAAAATAGAATTAGTTGTCTTGGCCTGTCATTGGCTCTGTCTCTACCTACAGTTGTCCTTCCAACCTTCTCCCCACCAATCCCAACAGGCCTCAGCCACCACTTCCCCTCTTCCTTTTGGGTCAGAGCTTTTATACCAAGGAAAGCACCACAACATATAAAGACAGAGAAGGCCCAGCCTCTCTTTGCTGTTGTCTCTTATCTCACAAGGATAATACAGAAGCCTTTTATGTTAATCCGCATGAGGAGGGATTAGTGTGATTTTCGGTTTCGTTGGAGGCTCCAGACAGCACAGCTTCACGGCTTGTTGTTGTTTTCACTTGCAATGATGGAGGAAGTGATGAAACACACTTTATGCAGACACTGTATATGAACTGCCTTATACCTTTAAAAAATGCAATCTGAAAAGCAGCCCCAGAAGCTCCAAACGGCCTTCCCATAATAAGCTGGCAAATGGTCTGCTAAGGGAGAAGACAGAATTGCAAATTTGCAGCAAAAATATCCCCGCCTTCCTGGCAGCCTTACTCTGAAATGGCCCATTGCTCTTCAAAAAGCACAAAGCCCATGATCGTTCTCCGCAGACTGTCTTGAACCCCTTCACCACCTGCAAATGACAGAAACCTGTAAGTAATAGCCCGATTTCTCTGTAAAAGGTCCTGCACCTCTCCCCAAAATGGTCTGTGGAAAACATAAAGCCCGGGGGGGGGGGGGGAAATCTCAGCACAGCCCGAAATGTTGTGCCTCTCTCCTGCTCTGCACCTGCAAGCGAAAGCGGCCTGCCATTTATTCCCAGCGTGGCGCTCCTCGAGCCTTTCTGGCTGAGGCAGAATAAATAATTGGGTGTAATAATG